GCCCAGCTCTGAGGCCACGGCCTGCTGAAAGCAGGTATCTGGGGTTTGTTTACCTTCTATAATTGAAACTTTGTTGCCATCACTGGAGCTGAGAGCCGGCTCCTGCTCACTCCAGCTCCATGGCCACGGCTGGCTAAAAGCAGGTATCTGGGGTTGGTTTAGCTTCTATAATTGAAACTTTGTTGCTTTCAGTGGAGCTCAGAGCCGGGCCACGGCAGGCAGGGAACCTTGGCTTCCTCCATCACTGGAGCAAGCAAGCCTCCTGCTCACTCCAGCTCCGTGGCTGCCGGCCGCCATCTTGGTTGGGTTAATTTGCATTTAGTCGCTCTGACTGGCTGGTGGGCGTGGCTTAAGGCATAGCGAGAAAGTATGGTCAATTTGCATGTTTGTCTTGGTACTTGGAGAATCATCCTCTATCTCCCCACAAAGAACACGAATTAGCCCTGGCCGATGGTTCAGTTGGTTGAAGCATCATCCCATGCAAAGGTTGTAGGTTCGATCCGCAGTCCTAGCACATATCTAGGTTGTGGGTTCAATCCCAGTCAGGATGCGAATGGGAAGCAACCGATCAATGTTTCTCTCTTACACTGATGTTTCTCTCTCTTTCTCTATCAAATCAATAAACATATCCTTGCATAAGGTTTAAACATTTTTTAATTAAAAAAACGAATATGAATAAATTATTTTAACATTTCCAAGCCATTTCAGGTAATTAAAATGCACCTGATTAAAGAAATAAACTTTAAGCGTCTCAGTTTCCCTCTGAAATTCAGTGAGGATGCAAAGCTCCAAATCAATTCCTTGTGTTTCTGTTACAGTCCTCAGAATACAAGTTGTACACATGGCTAATAAATAATTTAAACTAAATTCAAATACTTTTTATTAAATGCTTATTCATTATTATAATTGCTGCCCTCAACAACAGTTATTTTCAACTCATAAAAAATTTACTCCAAATATAAAAGGCAGGTCAAGTTACAATTCTATCAAGCCTACTACCAACTTATTCACCTGTGTATTAATAACTTAATTGGAAGAGGCTCTCCTTCATATACGGAAAGGTGACATAACACAAAACAAATTTAAAGCAGACAAATGATCTGAATTTAACCTTAATTTAAGTATAATACTAATCAGTAAACAGCCTTAGAATTAGTTTTTCCAGGCTATAATATGATTTTTATAATATGATTTTAAGAAGCACTTAAAATCACAGGGTAAGGACTTGCTTATTATTAAACAACAGGGGTATTTTTCCCCATAGGCATATTTATCATGCATTGTTTTATGAAAAAGAAACACTTACTTGATTTTTGACTGAGGAGTCCTCTGGGATACAGACTGAGGCAAGTTGAAAGAGAAAAGATTTTTCCAAGTTAGCTTAGCAACCGTGTATCAAATGTACATATTATTAATTACCTAGTGCTATAGTTTGATATGGAATAAACTACATGAGAACTTCCTTCAAAGACAAACCCTGGGACCATAATTATTAAATAACACTAGGCTTCACACAAAAATTAGAGTAATTCAGCATTTTAAATTTTATTAGTTTCAATTTTAAGAAAATATTTTTCTTTTCAAAAGCATATAAACAACTTTCTAAAGGTATGATTGAAAAAGGTTACATATAAAATGTCAAGTTCCAAGACTGAGTAACTCTCTAAACTGAAAATAGTAACATTAAAAAACTTTTTTTTAGCCCTAGCTGGTTTGGCTCACTGGATAGAGTGCTGGCTTTCAGACTGAAGGGTCCCAGGTTCAGTTTCAGTCAGGGGCACATGCCAGGTTGCAGGCTTGATCCCCAGAAGGGGACATACAAGAGGCAGCCAATCAATGATTTTCTCTCATCATTGATGTTTCATCCCTCCTTCTCCCTTCCTCTCTGAATTCAATAAAAATATATTTTAAAAAATTTATTTTAGACATAACAATGGCAACTAACACTGCTCTGGAACATATGAAGCAACACTTACATGGTGCCCTCCTGATAACATCTTACTCCATTTATGGCGTCTCTACAACAAACATCCTACCTTGCCCATCAAGAAACAAAGTGAATCTTGATCAGTCCATACTTCCCTAAACTACATTATGTGCCAGTTAAGACTATGTAAAATCTAAAGAACCTGCCCTGTGTTATAGGTGGCCTCTAAGTTGCTCCTAAATAAAAAGGGAGGAGTTGGGGTTTGGAGGAAGAAAGTAAAACCACTTGAGAGAGCTGAATCTAACTCAAATTTACTCTTCAGTGTTAACTATTGAGAAACACCTGAATTTAGATATCAAGTGGAGATCCTGACTAGAACAGATTCATCTTAGTACCAAAATAAAACTAGATTGCCCTAACTGGTTTGGCTCAGTGGATAGAGCGTCAGCCTGCGGACTCAAGGGTCCTGGGTTCGATTCCGGTCAAGGGCATGTACCTTGGTTGAGGGCACATCCCCAGTAGGGAGTGTGCAGAAGGCAGCTGAATCGATGTTTCTCTCTATCCCTCTCCCTTCCTCTCTGTAAAAAATCAATAAAATATATTTAAAAAAAATAAAAATAAAATTAGATTGAACTACAGTGGGGCCTTGACTTACGAGGTTAATTAGTTCCGTGACGGAGCTCATAACTCAAATTACTCGTATGTCAAATCATAAAATGAACGAGTGAGACACGTGATGCTGGGCTGATGTTGTGGCATTCACTGTGACGTTCGCTGCGCCAACTAGCGGTGGGGTATCTGAAGCTGGCTCGTAACCCGAATTTTAGCTCGCAACCCAAAGCAAAAAGTTGGCCGAGAGACGGCTCGTATCTCGAAAAACTCGTTAGTCGGGACACTCGTAAGTCAAGGCCCCACTGTATAGCAGTGATAAGAAGCACTGTGACTAAGCTGTTTGTGTTACTAGACAGTCTTTGTTATTCAAATTCCACTGTGTTGTTTTCAGACATAATCCCAATTCCAAACATTATAAGACCTGGACAAAAATACTACTAGGTGAAGAAAGCCAACTTTTAAACAGCTCCTTCAATCCATTCCCTACCCACTCATCACCCCTAGGAATATGAACAAGCCTAGAGACATAAGAATAGCCAGATATTGCTCACTTTTGGTGATGTTCAAAAATCTAGTCACTACATATGCGCATAACTGGCCTGATGCCCACAACAGCCTGCCTGAGTAGATTTGCTCTATGAAGCCCAGTATACACATGAAGAAAGCTCAGAGGACAAGTGACTTTCTCAATGTCACAGTGTAATTCTAGAAGACAGAAATGTAAATCTTCCTTTATGGATGAAAAAGAAATACTGAAAAAGGTTAAGTGATTGTCTATGAAGAGTTAGGACTACACACATATCTTCTAACTCCTTGTCATTTTATTTCTTGACTAAATATGTAGACGATTACTCCTAAAAACCATTACCAATAATTTAACTATGGTTTTATATATAAACCTAAGTTGGTTAAAACAAAAATTGAACAACTCCACTATAATTTGTAATAACAGAAAAAACTTGAATATTTTCAAATCCAAAACAACATAAAACTAAGTTAGACAGAGATAAACATTTCCAAATTTTAATCTTTGTGTTTTAGCATACCATAACAAGCCCTGCAAGTATTTCCAAGGCAGAAATTAACTAACCTAAATTGTTGCTTTTCAGCAGAGAAAATAACTAATCATTCTGACCATACTAAAATATACCAAATCAACTAGAACCACACTAAATGCCTTAAAAGAGCCCAATAATTTTCATGACTATAAACTCCTATACTGCCCTGGCTGGTGTGGCTCAGTTGGTTGAGTGTCATCCCATGTACGTCATGGGTTTAATTCCCATTCAGGGCAATGTTCGGGGTTGCAGGCTCAATCCCTGGTAGGGGGCATGCAGAAAGCAGCCGATCAATGTTTCTCTCTCTCTTCCCTTCCATCCCACCTTACCCCCTCCCTCCCTCTCTCAAATCTCTATAAATCAATAAAAACAATTAAAAAAAACCAACTTCTATACTTTTTTCACCAATGTTATTTCAGTTACTAAATGAACAAGTATTTAAATTGTATTGCTTAATATTTAACTGAGAGAAAGATCATTCTGATCTTTATCCTGTCTCAAATATGCAAGGCAATAATGTAATTAAGTAAAAACATGAAAGATAAAAACTTTGGACTTACCGCCATTGATTGTGACTCTATTAAAAAACATAAAAAAGAAACATTTTCAGATAACTGCATTTATAGGTAAAGTTATGTACATGATTTCTATGGCACACACATACTGATTAAGCAAACCAATTCTCCATACATTCTAAATTTTAAAAAGTGGTTTAATTTTGCATCCTGGTTTAATTTTAACTCCTTAGTAATTGCATACCAGTGATACCATTGCAACACAACTTCATCCACACCTCCTTTCAACATAGCAAACTCAGAATACCTTTGGAAGAATTCCAGTCAAGATGCAGTGTAGGTAAAGGCAGTACTCACCTACCACATAAAAATTACAACTACAGAACAACCATCATTCAGAACCACCTGAAATCTGGCTGAATGGAAATCCTACACCTGGGGAATTAAAGAAGCAGCTACATCAAGACTGGCAGGAGGAGTGAACATGGCAAATGGGTTGGTCCCACAACTACATGTAGCAGATAAAAATTGGGAGGGATATCTCAGTTGCAGAGGTCCCCTCTGAGGAGCAAAGGGTCCCAGCCCCACACCAGGACCCCCAGCCCAGAGTTCCAGTGCTAGGAAGAGAAGTTCTCATAACTTCTGGCTGAAAAAAACTGGCAGGAATTGATACTTGAGGGAGATGAGGGCTGCTGGAGCACCAGGCAGTTCCTCTTAAAGGGCCTGTGCACAATTACTGGAACTCACTCCCTCTAAGCTCCAGGCCAGCAGCTTGAAAGGCCTCACAGCACCAGAGACTTACGGGAAGGAACTGAATTGCCTGGCAAGATGGGGGGAGGGTGGTGTCTTTTTCCAAGACTGAACTGTTGGCAGAAGCCATTATTCCTTTGATGAGCCCTTCCCTCATAGATCTGGCAAGCAGGGACCACATCTCAGATTCTATCAACCTGGTTCTCACTGTTTGCCCCCCACTGATAATTCTCTGAGGCCCTGCCCACTCAACTTTCTGGCCCACCCAAGCTGTTTCCATTGACTTTTCCATATGAATGACCTGTCTTGGCTCATGTTTCAGATTTTCCTAAAAATCTCTCAAACAAGCAGTATCTTACCTCAGTGAGCCCCATATCTCTCGTTAAGTGATGCCAGGCTCAGAACTAGCAGTAGCCAGCTTAACCTCACCTGGATACCTTCAAACCCAGCACAAGTAGCAATATCTGGGTATCACTTTGTAGCTCACACCAGGTGACCCCAGGCAGAACACAGGTGGTAGTTAACCTTAGCCTGCAGCTCCTGGAGGCCCCAGAGCCAGTAAACCCACTGAATAGCTTCAGACCACATTGCAGCACTATCACCCAACCACGTCCAGAAGCAAAACACCCAAGGGAGGGATTGTGCAGGCACCAGAGACCCACTGAATTAAGTCCTGTGGGGTGGGCCCCTGCACAGCTGATCCTCCACCGTAATCGAGGTCGCAGCCAGCCCTAGCAGCTGATTGGCCTGGGGGTAAATCCCTCCCATTGATGTGTCAACAGCAATTAGACTCAACTACAAGAGGAAGGTGTAAAGTGCCCACATGGTGGGTGCACCTGAGTGCCCAACTTGGGTGATCAGGGAGGCTATGCCACTGGACTCTACAGAAAACCTACTATGTTAGCCCACTCTACCAAGCTGGAGAGATGCAGCAGCTCTATCTAATACATAGAAACACAGGGAGGCTGCCAAAATGAGACAAAGAAACATATCCTAAATGAAAGAAAAGATCAGAACGCCAGAAAAAGAACTAAACAAAATGGAGACAAGCAATCTACTAAATGCAGAATCCAAATACTCTTTATAAGGATGCTCAATGAACTTAGGGGAAGAGGAGATGAATTTAGTGAGAGCTTCAACAAACAGATAGGAAACATAAAAATGGAGATAGAAAATATAAAAAAAAAAACAACTGTAGGAAGAAAACCAAGATGGCGGCATAGGTAAACACCGGAGATTGCTGCCTTGCACAACCACTTCAAAAATACAACTAAAAGACGGAACGGACATCATCCAGAACCACAGGAAGGCTGGCTGAGTGGAAAT